AAACAAACTTGCCTTGGAACAGATGTGAGGTTCCCAGTATAGAACCAGGAGTCTCCAGTAGAGATTCCACTTCTACCCCCTAAATCTCATTAAAATGCTCCCAATCTGCAGAACTCTGCTAATCCTGAATGACTGCGATTCAGGAGAACATCTATGAGACTATGTCTAGGAACAGAACCTGGATGCGGTTAGAGGACTGATCAGGTGCTGGATCAGACATGGATGGAAGACTGATCCAGTGTGAGCGAGCCTGGAGCGTTCAGCTAAAGATGAAACCTCCAGAGGTTTTCTGCCGTTAGCAGCAGAATGTTCAGAGCTTCCAGGGTTCAATAATCTCAAACATGCATCACTGACCAAAAGAACCAACATCAAAGCTGAGCTCAGGCTCCAACTCCAGGCCACTTCATGTTTTATTAAGAATTTATTTGCTGTAGGACACCGCGTCAGAAAAACTCAGTGTAACAAACATGGTTACTTTAAAAAAAAAGGAAAAGAGACATAAAAATAACCCCCATATTTCAAGACAAAAAGTTCATTTACATCCAACCCAAGGACAGCGGCTCCATCAGAACAGAACCCAGCAGGGAGGGGGCAGACGTCGAGTGCTGCAGTGCATCAAAGTGCTTTGTGGAAGTGGAAGGCTGCCGGCGCCGAGCGGGTCCAAGACATTTAACCAGAGCGGGACGCGATCGGGTCCAACTCTGGGACATGGGCGGCGCCGGCCCGGATGAGAAGGGACGATTGTTCACGCACACTGAACACAGGGGGGGCGATTGCACGTGGACCGGCGAGATGTGGCGGTATGGCTTCGGATGGGTGCTAGCAGCTAGTAGCGTCCGGTCTGTCAGAGGAAGGAGAACAGACGATTGTTGTCGTGTTTGTGCTGATCTGATTGTTCCCTTCAAAGCTCCTCGTTCCCTCATTATGAAAAACAGCTAAGAATCAAGCATGAGTACAATCTGCAGCGGCTGTGGAGTGATTCAGGGTGGAAGGGCCAGGAGCCTCCGCCGTAGGGACAACGCCGCTTCCTCTGCTGTTTCCTACACCGAGTGATGGAGCTGCATGAGGAAGTCAGTCTCAGTCTCATCTGAAGGTGCAGCAGAACTTCCAGCAGGAAGTGGACAGGAAGCAGAAACTGTTCCTTGCTTGTTTTCTTTTTTCCTTTTTGTCAGTCAGCTTTAAAAAAGGCACCATGCACATTTATAAACCCAGAGAGGGAGAAAAATAACAACAAAAATATTTGGAAAAATAATAATCTATCAGCAGCTTGAGATCCAGGCTCCCTCCTTCTTCTCTGGATCAAACGTTAAGGCTTCTAGTTCTCAGGTTCATCTGTTAAGGCAACCTGAAGCAGAAAACAACGTTAACCGAGGATGATGATTGAAAGCGAGGTCCACTCAAACGGACGGAGACCTTTTACCTTGCCGCTCCTCTAGCTCTCGCTCTCATAGTGACTCAGACGCTTCTTGGATTTCAGCTCCTTCAGCCACTGGGGGGAGTCCTCCTCGCTGCGGGAGATAAACCAGTTAGCCTGAGGAGCTAAACCGAAAGGTTAGCAGGAGTAGGCAGTGTGGGAGTTTCTCACCCGTTCTCCTTCCCACCAGCAGGGGGCAGCACCCGCGCTGCACGAGGGAGGAAGGGAGACCTGGGAGAGCGGGCCGGGTACGATGGAGGGGGGGCAGGCCCGTCGGTCTGATTGTCAGATTCGCCTCGCTTCTTCAGCTGCGCCTGAGACCAAGGGAGAAAACAGAAAATAAGAAAAACACGAGAAACTATTTTTTCTATATCAGGAGGGATTTTATGTGATAAACTAACATAAATTAAAAGCAGAACTTTGAGGAGGAATAAACAAACAATAAAAGTTGTGATGTGGAGGCGTGTTCGGCCCCCTTTACTTCGACACTCCTAAAAAAACCAAAAACAATAAAATGTTTGCATCATCTGACGGCGCGCTGGGTTAGACAGCGGCGGGTGGCCCATAGGGGGCGCTCTGGCGCTGCCTCCCAAGATGTGGAGGGGAAAAATCATAATGTCAGTTTTACTTAATAGGATGTGGCTATATGTAATATAAATTATTAAAACACTTCTACCCATTAAATTCTATTCAGTTTATTTCTATAGCTCCAATTCACATCAGGTCATCTCAGGTCACTTTCCAGTTCACCAGATCATCATTAAAGTTTTCTATCTAAGGAAAACCAGCTGATTGCATCGACTCATTGACTCTTCAGCAATCCCTCACACTAACTGACTCTCATTCAACAGAACGGATCATTTCTGTCATTCAAGGCGCCCCTGAAGTGTAGCTAAATAACCAATTGTGTGATGTTGCTAGGGAAAGTTGATAAATATTTGACCAATCAGCATCGCCACAATGAATGGCTTTTTGGGGCTCCTGGCATTTCGGCCCCCGCTACAGAGATATAGGTGATGGAGCCAGTAGTGAGTCAGGAAGTGAGGTCGAGATTATGGCGACGACCCTTTCAC